CATAAAGAATGCAACAATGTGAAAACATTTATTTCAGTCAAATGGGAAATCGAATAAATACAATCCAAAAGCTCACATAAAAGTTTGCTTTACTGTATACCCCAACAGCTCGAGCAACCCGTTCTTGCTCCAGTAGAGCCTCCCTTTCTTTCAGGGCGGCCTCTTTTTCCGCCACCGCAGCTTCCTTGGCCGCGAGAGCAGCATCTCTCTCAGCAAGAGCCTTTTCTTTATTACTGAGCTCTTCGTCGAGAGATCTAATCTTGACGTCGAACTCAGTCTTCTGTTCTGTTTGTGTCTCGCGGAGTTTGGCATTATGTTGCAGGAGGGTCGAATTTTTATCCTACAGATAGTCGATGGTGCCCTCGAGACCCTTGATCGACTTATCCGAGCTGTCCCGAGCTTCCTTGGCCAGAGGCAAAAAATCAACCAAGCCCTAGCAACAAAGAAGACAAGGTAATTCAACGTATGTATCGACAAAGAAAAAAGAGAAGAACCAATGTAGAGTTAGAGGAGTAATACCTGAGCAAGCCATTGCACGAGTTTATCGCCAACCTCGGGCAGCGTAATGCTGGCTTTTTTGCGATCATCCTCGAGGAGGGCACCCTCGAGGCGGTCGGCCACCTCATTAACGGAGGCCGACAAGAGAGACGTCGATTTCGGGGCTAACGGATCAGGAGGAAGATAGCCAGCGCGCCCCCGCTTGACAACGACCTCGCCCTGCTCAGTTCGAGAGCGTTTGCCCAAGGCTGACTCGCGTCCCCCGTCACCACGATTGCCGGATTCGACCAGAGCTTTGGTCGATATGACAGGAGTGGTTTTGGAGGATTTGTGGGCGAGGGGCAGTTTTTCTTGGGTTTTGGTTTTGGATGAGGTGTTAGGCTCGGAGGCTTTATCGACAGTTTTGCCTTGAAGGTTAGCTTTGGGTGGGGAGGTTCGTGGACCTGTCTTCTGGGAGCGGTCGTCGGTTTTTTGATGGCGGTCGTCGGCTTTCTGATGGCGGTCGACGGTTCTTTGACGATCACCGATCTTAGGTTGGTGATCGACGGTTTTCGAGGAGTTTGAGGATTTTGTGGTCGATTGAGAGGCGGATTGGTGCTGTTTCTGTTGTTGTTTGGGCGGCTGGGGCTGCTGCGACTGGTGTTGTTGCTGTTGTTGTGGTTTTTGTTGTGGTTGTGGTTGCTTCAGTTGTTGTTGTGGTTGCTTATGTTGCTGCTGTTGTTGTTGTTGTGGTTGTTTCTGCTGTTGCTGTTGTTGTTGAGGTTGCTGTGGCCCCGGCAGTGGGGGAGGGGGTAAGGGGGTCTCTCGTGGAGGCGACTGCGGTTGCGACTTTGGTCGAGACCCCGAGGAAGTGGTCAATCCCTTGGCCTGACCCCCGGTTGAACCAGAAGTACCTCCGGTCTTCTTTTTCAGAGGCACTTTCCTCAGAGGAATGTTGAAGCTGGGAGCCTCTGCACGAGCACATCAAACAGAATAGAACCAACATTAGCACTTACTTCAACAAGAATAACAAATATATGACAACATTCAAAATGAACTGATCGGGAACTACCTGGGTCATCCTCAAGGCGAACAAGATCGAGAATCTCCTCGGTGGGGGGAGAAAGGGTTTTGTGGGTAAGAAGACCACATAAATGGAGAAGATTCTCGTCCTTGAGAAGTCTTTCAGACGCAACGGTCTTGGAAATTCAAGTGTGGATCTGTTGGTCGAAGAGGGGGTTTGCTGGAGGGGCCGAGGCTGCCTCTTTCGAAACATCCTTGACCCAAGGGATGGAAGGCCAAGGTAAAGGGACGTCAGGTCGAACGAAGATGAACTTATCGCTCCACTTGGGAAGGTTGGAGGGGATGTCATTGATGAAGTGTGCACCATTGTGACTTTTCAAATAAAGACCCTGGCCCAGTTTAGAGGGGCAGTAACAATAATGGAAGAAGTCTAGGTCGAATCGACCTAGACGGATGTGACAAAGAATGATGAAAGTGGTGATGAAACGGATGGCGTTAGGAGGAAGTTGATGCAAGGGAAGCGAGAACCACTCGCAGATGCGGATTATATCACGGTTCAAAGGAAAACGTAACCCGAGCTTAAACTGGACCTCGAAGAAAGGGTAACAGTCTTGCGAAGGATGATCATACCGGTCAGAGGGGGAAGATCTAATGAACGCCCAACCAAGAGGTTGGCAGATTTTTTCGGGATCAAACCAGGGGTGGGAGAGAGAGGTAGAAGATGGTCGCTTGGAAGGTTTCTTGGTCGAGGACCGCTTGGGCGGAGAATTCGAAGAAGGAGGAACGGTCGAAGATGCGGGAAAAGTGGGCTGAGAAGAAATAGCTTCGTCTTCCTCTGGCTCATCCATTGAACCAAAGGCAGGTCGACGACGGCGGAGAGGGATATTATCCATAGTGTCGCCGGAGTTGGAAGAAGCAACACGAGCTTTGAAGACACGGGTAGGAACAGTATCACCAGGGCGAAGAATCGAGAGAGGAACGGCCTCAAGAGCAGAAGGTAGTATCTGGACCGAGTCTGAGGAAGTGGTCGAGGAAGGAGATGGAGGCACAGGATCTGAAAAAGAAAAAAGAAAGAGAGAGAAAATTAAAAAAAACAAAAAACGGAATTAAGAAGAGAAAAACTAGGGTTCTATGAGAGGGGTGACTTCGGAGAAATTAAAGTGGAAGAACAAAGGTTTCAGGGGACTTCTTGAAGAAGGAAGCAAAATCCACAGCAATTGACAACCAAACAAGAATACCCAATACACAAATTCAAGATACCCAGTCAGGGAGGTTCAAGATGCCCAATTGAAAAAAAAAAAGACAGAGAAAAAATTTCTTAAAACACAAAATCCCAGATACACGAAGTACAAAATCAGGGGAAAAAACAACTTACTCATAACTGCGGAGGAGAGAATCGGAAAAGCTCGAAGATTGCAGGAAGAATCGCCGGCGGAAACTAGGATCTTTTGCAGAGAGGGCTGTGAATGCAAAGGGAATTTGGGGAGAGTGAAAGCGAAAAAGTCCGAAATTTTACTAAGTGTTGATTTTATACTCTGAGGAACCCAAGAGGTGGAAAGATGAAGACCGTTAGATTAAAGTTAGATCGCACGGCAGAAAGCATTAAATGGCACGACACTCTAAGTGGGCGCGTTATGCGAGGGGGCGTCATCATTAAAGTACCTGACACACGCGAACAGAAGCGACGCGTGGCAGAAAAGCAGATGAGACAGGAAGGATATGGGACAAACTACTTTATGCCTGACAATTAATGGGAATTTATTTGAAAAGATAAGCGGGAAACTCGCCAACCGGTCGATATCTGACAACGAGCCATCCCGGAGGTTGATAAATACCAATTCACTCTTAGATCGAGTTACTCAGACTCGACCAGAGTGGGGGGGACTAGATGATATGGGATATTATATACACAAAGCTAAACCGGTCTGCTGGGCCGGTCGAGAAGGTTAAACCAAGAGGGAGCCAAGCCAAAAGGCGGGAAGATCGAACATTCAGGAAATCGACCAGACTAACGATCGAGCAGTCCACCGCATGACCAGACTAACGATCGAGCAGTCCACTGCACGACCAGACTAATGATCGAGCAATCCATCGCTCGACTAGACCCATGATCGAGCAAACTACTCGACCTCTACAGGTCGATCGCTTCGAGGAACCCACAGTCGACCTAGTTGTGGGCGCGCGTACCGTAGGGGCGCGTAAGAGCCTCTAACTGAAATCTCCAGAGAATATTTACCCCATGTTCTGGGGGAACACGTGTCGACAATGTATTGGGTGATAGCAATAACCACCTCTGACTGCTCCCAACGCCTCGCGCCACCTCTGACATGTGCGCGGCGTGCCAGAGTACGGACGGGCAGTTTGGGCAGCCAGCTCATCCTTATCCGGGCAGCTATTGGGGCAGGTATCTCACCCCTATATAAAGGGGGTGAGCCTTTTTCCTTGAACACATTCTATTTTCCATACTTCACTTCAGTATACTCATACACATACTGACTTAAGCATCGGAGGCTCTTCACCGGACACAACCCCCGGTGTGAGAGTTGTTTGCAGGTTTCCGGCGTTCTACCGGCGAGGACCAAGATCTATCCGTTCAAACCGGACCAGGACGCTTACACTTGCATTAACACCATTATTTGATGTGGATAACATATATTTCGTGCTCCATCGCGTTTTGAAACAAAATTGTATACATTTAAAGAAGTCAAGAAAAATACGAGTAAATAGAGGCAAAAGGGAAAAAATAATCAACGTCTCCGGAAAGACTTTTTTTCGGACACGGAACTATTATTTGATGTGGATAACATATATTTCGCGCCCCATCACGTTTTGAAGCAAAATCGTATACATTTAAAGAAGTCAAGGAAAATACGAGTAAATAGGGACAAAAGGGAAAAAATAATCAACGTCTCCGGAAAGACTTGTTTTCGAACACGACACCATTATTTGATGTGCATAACATATTTTTTGTGCCCCATCGCGTTTTGAAGCTAAAACGTATACATTTAAAGAAGTCAGGGAAAATACGAATAAATAAAGACAAAAGGGAAAAAAATAATCAACGTCTATGGAAAGACTTTCTTTCGAACACGACACCATTATATGATGTGGATAACATTAATTTCGTGTCCCATCGCGTTTGAAACAAAATCATATACATTTAAATAAGTCAAAGAAAATACGAGTAAATAGAGGCAAAAGGAAAAAACTAATCAACGTCTCCGGAAAGACTTGTTGTCGAACACAGAACCATTATTTGATGTGGATAACATATATTTCGCGCACCATCACGTTTTGAAGCAAAATCGTATAAATTTAAAGAAGTCAAGGAAAATACGAGTAAATAGGGACAAAAGGGAAAAAATAATCAACGTCTCCGGAATGACTTGTTTTCGAACACGACACCATTATTTGATGTGGATAACATATATTTCGTGCCCCATCGCGTTTTGAAGCAAAATCGTATACATTTAAAGAAGTCAAGGAAAGTACGAGTAAACAAGGACAAAAGGTAAAAAATAATCAACGTCTCCATAAAGACTTGTTTTCGAACACCACACCATTATTTGATGTCGAAAAAATATATTTCGTGTCCCATCGCGTTTTGGAGCAAAATCGTATACATTTAAAGAAGTCAAAGAAAGTACGAATAAATAGGGACAAAAGGGAAAAAATAATCAACGTCTACGGAAAGAATTGTTTTCGAACACGACACCATTATTTGATGTGGATAACATATATTTCGTGCCCCATCGTGTTTTGAAGCAAAAATCGTATACATTTAAAGAAGTCAAAGAAAATACGAGTAAATTGGG